TGTATTATTGCCACCATGATTTAAATGTTAATAATTTCTGTTGTTTTCTATGATGTATTATTGCCACCATGATTTAAATGTTAATAATTTCTGTTGTTTTCTATGATGTATTATTGCCACCATGATTTAATGTTAATAATTTCTGTTGTTTTTCTACGATGTACTATTGCCACCATGATTTAAATGTTAATAATTTCTGTTGTTTTCTATGATGTACTATTGCCACCATGATTTAATGTTAATAATTTCTGTTGTTTTTCTACGATGTACTATTGCCACCATGATTTAAATGTTGATGAATTCTGTTAAGTAGGTGAGACTAGCTTATTTACTTATTAAAACATAAAACCCAATTAAATATGATTAATTTTGACGTGTTACACCTTACTGGCAAAACTGATTCATTACATCATATTGTACTGGGTTTTCCTCATCCCATAAAGTAGAAAATGTACCAAAAACCCAATTACTTATTATATCTTTATCAATGTACAGTCACTGATGATGGTTGAATTCTGGGATATTAAGAAAGGTCAATGTCTGGTTTAAGTTTTTAAAATTTGTCTTAACTTTGAAAATTCGTGTTAATGCCTTTTGATGTAAAAAGTTTAACTTGAAAAAAAAAATAATTTGTTTGGCAAGGATACTGCAGTTGCTGAGTCTTAAGTTGTTGTTATAAAGTAGTAGAAAATAATTTCATTTTTAACTTAAGAACGTACACTTCCTTGGCTAAAACTCTTGTTAGACCATATACAACACAATGAAATATATTCTTACTATTAACTGATTTGCTGAAGAAAATTATTGGGCTGTTAAATGATTCCTTGGTTTGGAAGTCATGAGTCTTAATAGTAGGATAAAGCAGCTTTTACTTTTGAAAGTATGTATTAATTGGGAAAGATTTGGCTGAAGTGTTGAGAATAAAGGATAACAGATTAAAAACAAATTGCAGTGAGCTATCAGTTTGTTGTTTGTTTCTGGAAAAATAAGGATTGAAATAATGGTTAAATATTAAACTTCCCTTAAATAAATCAAGCATCATTTTTATTACTTCAGAAGAAAATGAGACCCCATAAAAAAACTAAGAATAAGAGTTTATGAAAATTAGCAGATTTTGTATTTGTATTACTATGTGTATGTGTTATACATTACTTAATAAATCTAATAATTATATGCTGTGGAAGTCTAGAACTAAATTTGTTCTGAATTTTTCTTTTTTAGTGAAATGTTTGTCAGAGAAGTTGTTGTACACCATTAGCTTGGGGTAATCATAAAACATTAAAATGGATTTGTGTTACAGCTCTTCTTAAATAAAATGTCAAACACAGTTATCCATTCTTCAAAAGCATCGATCTTACGATTTCACAGACATGAGGTTTGGCATAAATAAAATAATTTTTATAAATGTAAAAAAAATGACACTTTATGTAAAGTACAAGAACAACATGTACAAGTTTGCTTTATTAATTAACTTATCTAATACATTTAAAATATTTAAAGTTGGACACTTAGGTGCAAATTTATTAACAAAATTATGATTTTTTCTGGTTAGTTATAAACTTCTGGAATGGTTTGATTGATGACATAGTGCTTGTCATTAGTTTGAATTATTTTCAACTTTTGCTGGACAGGTCATGGATGTGATGGGCTATACGTAATTTATTTTTGATGTTCCAATGATTGAAGGCTGGTCTCTGTTGGAAAATAACACTATCACCATGCAATTTATGTTTTTAAGTTAAAATGTCCCTTAAAAGTCTTGTACTCTAACTTCATCATCTTTCATTTTTCATCATTAAAACTCATTTTCTACTTATATAACCATTCATCAAGATAATTTAGTTTTTCATATTACAAAACCTTGATGTCCCATAACTTATAATTATATGTAAATCACAACCACACAAGCTGAATATATAAATTTATGTTTAAAGTGAATTTAAAAACTTCTGCAAGTCCATAAGCATAAAAAAATGCTTTAAAAACTAAGTCTGAAGATTCTTAGCTAACAACAGCAAAAACTACTTCCTGAAAATAGTGAAAACTTCAATATTGGATATGCCAAAATACAATAAATTCTCTTACATTAATACATAATTAATTCTAAAAGTAACTAAAAATGAAAAAGACAAACAAACTATAACGTCTTTAATTTAAATCTGAAATTATACTACTATTACAAGGTTAAGTTATGCTGTACATGACTCTTCATTATTTCAGCTCGAAACAAGTTTTGGTTTTACACCTTACAAATTATGATTCAAATTACTAATAGGACTTAAAATTTATTGTACAACAAACAAGTTATAACTATTAAGTATAACTTAAGTTATAGTTATAAGTAATAATTACGAAAGAAACTTCAACTTTCAATTCAAATCCAAGTTCAACTTAACCATTCATAAAAGCAGCATTATCTTAAATTGTAACAAAGTTCTTACACTTATTTAATTCCAATTTCTATATCATATGATCATCAATAATATCCTCTCAGCTCTTCCCACGGCTTGTGAAATCGTCGTTAGAAAAATTAACTGTTAAACTTCCACTCATGTAAGCATTTAGTTCTTAAAAGCCTCGGCCACTTAATTCTAATTATGTAGTGGAGTGAAGAAAAACAGAAGTTTCTGACCGCCCCCGGTTATATCTCATTTCCCGAAGGAGAATGAAATAAACTTTTAACCTAAATTCCTACAATGCTAGATTGGATTGGATCAAAAAAAAGTGGCAATAATTTCTTGACGACTTAATATATAATAAAACGAAAAATTTAAAATTTTCCTCTAACGGGGAAAAATTGTAACTACTGCTCGTACCCGTCAACCATCGTCCGCGTGGAGTTTGGTTTGAGAATATATTCTTTAGGATGTTAATATAGTCAAACTGAATAACTAACTTTAAAGTCAGTTTGTGAGTATTTTTATGTTTCATTGATTTTTTTTATTACAAGTTTATTAATATTACACTGTACAGTCTTTAACTTAAGTTTAATTTCTAGTCGGACTGAGGTCCAAAAATTCATCATTTCATGATATTTGCGATGCTTGCTTAACTTCGCCTCAACTTAAATTTAAAAATTAAGTAAAGATTAACGTAATAATTAAGTGGAAAAGAAGAGAAAGAAGGAGACCTTCACTTAGTTGAATGTTGTCTTCGAAAGTTTTCTTTCGGCGGAACCCGTGCGTAGGATAACCACATCGCCAATGAATTTGTGACGTCAGGCGTGGGAAAGCAGAGCAGGGAGATGCAGATCAAGTACGTCCGTTGTTGTCTAAAATATTGAAAGTAAAATTATTTAAGTGTTACGACAGCGGAAGTCACGCGACGCTGGAGTTTCTAGAAGGATCATGACTTATCGAGAAACCTTGCGAATGTCCGAGTGTTTGCCAGGCGCCCTTCTTTTTTTTTTTTTTTTCTTTTTTTTTAGTATATAAGCCCGGCAAATGAAGCCAGCGAGAAATAGATATGCACATAGATTGAGGATAGAGATAATTGAGTCAAGCGAACAGTAG